TAAATGATGTCTGATTGGATTTTACTTTTAAGGGCTAAGCCACAACTGTTCAAATCGACTGGATCAAGAGATCCTGACTATAACAGCTGCACATTTAAATGCTGCAGCATGCAAGCAAGCTCATTAAATTTTCACGTAATACATCAATGTTGTCAACTAGACTTTTTAGAACCCTAGGCAGTTACCCGTGAGCCTTGGCATGATTGAATGAGATGTTAATAGCAGCCACGTTGCCATGGAGTCTTAAGGTCAGAATAGTAACAGGAGCTTCTTTTGCCTCACAAATGTGTTGCTATGGAGGCTGCTGGTTCGTATGCAGTTGAGGATCTTATGTGTCACACTTCAGAGACAGATGCAGAGGATGACTTTGAGACTCTTACTTCCAAAGCATAGTGTTTGTTATTCCGACAGCAGATATTTTTGATTCATGCCATATTCAGGGAACACAGCACAAAAAACTGTGAGATAGATGGAAGCAATAGCAGGAAAACAAAACAAAATGGATAAAAATTATCTTTTATTATCATCAAGCTAAGCAGATCTGGAGAGACTTACCGTTGTGTAGGCATTGAATGGCTTTAAAGGGGACCATAAATATGCAGCATAAGACAATCATTGGTAAAAAAAAAAAAAATTAACTTGAATCAAATTCACCTTGGGGCACCACCCATAGGAAAGTTAAAAGGATAGCCAATTAATTAATTCAGTCTAATCTAGAGGTGATGTACCTTGCATTCACCGCTCTCTATCATCCACCCACTAGCTACACACACAGAAAAGAAGCTGTTACTCTTATAACAGAGAATATGAAGGGATGTTCGAGATACATCTGCACTTCATCAACCTACCACGGCATGGTTTTGCCGGTTGCGAATAAAAAAAACTTGTTGAGCGCTTTTGATTGTAGCTTGGCTATTTAAAAATCGAGGGTTTGTGCAGGATGTGCTGTGTCGTGTGATGCTTCATAAAATAAAACTCTGCAGTCGCTCTTGTTTAGTTTTTTTGACTCTACTCACTCTTTTTCAAAATGTGGTGGAAAAGTGGCATACTAGCCATGGTCATGTATAAACAGTTTTGTTTCTATTGTTCCTGCATTAAAGCTGAAATAGGTGCAAGAATCCACTGGGCCTGAATGAAAACAACCAATCAAAGCCAAGAAAGATATATAGACGCATTGGGTTGGAAGCTTTAAGAGTTGATTGTTGAGTCTCATTCCGAGGGTCCCAAAGTCCTCAGTTCAACCCTGAAACAAAGAAATATCAATCTCTAGCTGCAGAGCTGCCAGACTTATATTTCCCTATACACTTTTCCCTATATAAGGTCCATGTCCATGTCCTATCATTTAATTTACAATGCAGTTTAAAGGTAAAGAGTGGTAACCAGAAAGCACTTGTGGTTTGTTCTTTCACAAGTGAAGTCGTGGTAAATTAAAGATTACTACAGTTCTTTTACTTGGAAAAGGAATTTTAAACTGTACTGAAATACGTAAATATTACTACCAACAGATCCTTTTACAGTGCTCTTTTGCTGGGAGATAAGCGTGGCTTGGGGTACAAAATACGCTCTTATCTGTTTAGATGGGCACTGAAATAACTATCAAGACGTTCCGCCACGCACTCACCACGAAGACGCAGGCGGTGTGCACAAGCTTGTTCGACCTAGTTTACATTAGTCAGACAGTCGCAGAAAAAAATGTCAAACTCTATTCAGGAGCAGTGCCTTGTCACTGGGACCAGTGTCAGGGGATTGCTACAACACAGACCTTTTCTCTTGTAATGGAACACCGCTAACTGTACTAGCTGCCATTGGCTACATAGCGGTCCTATTAGCTGACCATAGCTAATACTGGGAGCTCAAAAGGATGAGGGGAGGTTTTGTTTACACGACTAATATAGGAGTTTGGACTGCCAGGGAGCGGGGTCGGAATGAGCACCATAACTGAAACCCGGTGATCAGACAACGAACCCAGGCAGCCTTGAAACCAGAAACCGATGAAGGCCAGCTGATTAACAGCGCCTCCGACCAGGACTCTGAATCTGGAGACGATGAAGACACTACATTTTCAGGCAGGAACTGGAGTGACATGAAACAGCAGAGGAGTGAGTTAATTAGTAAGTAACTGTTAACTTTAACTAAAACGCTCCAATTAATTCAAAACGCTGCAGCACGAGTCCTGACAGGAACTAGGAAAAGAGATCACATCTCTCCTATTCTAGCTTCTCTGCATTGGCTCCCTGTAAAATTCAGAATAGTATTTAAAATCCTCCTCTTCACCTATAAAGCTCTTCATGGTCAAGCCCCTTCATATCTTAAAGAGCTCATAGTACCCTATTACCCCTCTAGAACACTGCGTTCTCTGAATGCAGGGCTACTTGTGGTTCCTATAGTCTCTAAATAAGAACAGGAGGCCCAGAGCCTTCAGTTACCTAGCTCCTCTCCTGTGAACCAGCTTCCAGTCGTGGTTCGGGAGGCAGACACCCTCTCCACATTTAAGAGTAGGCTTAAGACATTTCTCTAATTAAGCTTATAGTTAGGGCTGGCTCAGGTGAGTCCTGAACCATCCCTTAGTTATGCTGCTATAGGCCTAGACTGCCGGGGGACTTCCCATGATGCACTGAGCTCCTCTCTTCCTCTCCTTCTCTTTCTGCACATATTCATGTCCCATTAATGCATGTTACTAACTTCACTTCATCCCCAGAGTTTTTGTTCTTTTTCTTACAGGTTCTCATGGATCTTGGTGGTGCCTCCTGCCATGGTCCTGCTTGACTCCCACTGCTAATGTTGCTGATATTATTAGGGCACTGACAATTATTATTTTTCTGCCCCTTAAATCACATTTTTGGAGGCCTGAACATGCTCGAAAACTCACAAAATTTCCCCCAATATTCAATTATGGCAAAAATCTACGTATTCTTTTGGTTCCGTGCACGGGCATCACAAAATGGCTCAAGACACGAATGACTAACATTTACGAAAATTGGTACGCATGTGTATCATGATCAGATAAGCAAAAAAGCCTCTTGAAGCTATACCCCAAACCCAACAGGAAGTCGGCCTTTTTGGATTTAGCGGTCATTTTTTGCATTGTATTTTAACGAACTCCCCCTATCGAAGTAATCAGATCAACTTCACATTTGGACACTGCAATCTAAAGACATTCATGATTAAAAGCTGTGCATTGGTCGAGGCAGATGGCCACCCACCTAGAGCCGGGGTCTGTCCGAGGTTTCTGCCTCTTAAAAGGAAGTTTTGCCATCGCCAAGTGCTTGCTCATGGTGGGAACTGTTGGATCTCTGTAAATAATTTTATAAGGAGTACGGTCTAGTCTTTTTAAGAAGGACATTTTCAGTGTTGTCTTCTTAGTGTTAAGCTAGTTGTGATTACACTGAGACGTAGTTACGCGGGCATTTAGGAGTACCTCACCACCATTGCTGTACACAGGGTTTTATAAATACTGAGGTCCAAAAACTGAACTTGCAAGGGGTTTTTGGGGCATGAATCAAGCATCAAAGTAGTTATTTTTAGGAAATTATTTCATGACTCTATACCCCTTGGAAAAAATACTGAGGTCCAGGCCGTGGTGACTTTAGCGGTGGGGACAGCCAATGCTCGTCCACACCCTGCTGTTATTAAACCATCAATTAAGAAATTGTTTTATTTGTTACCCCTACTGTCACTGAATCCTCTTCTCCTAGCACCAGTACCTTAACCTCCTTTGATATATTAACTACAAAAAGTGTAATTGAGACCAAAATGAAGAACACATTCTTCCTACCCACTCCCTTCAAAACCCTTGTCATAAACTTTCTGGTAAATTTCTGCCACAGCCTTCTAGTGTTAAACTCTGCACACATATCATTTGCTTATTTGCTTAGCTTATCATCAGCTTAAACAAAAAACATTTTTGAGTGGAGAGGTACTTTAACCAAGTGCTTTGAGCTGCCTAAACACAATTCATGCTTATGAGCAGAAGAAGTAGAAGAAACACATGCAGGCACAGGTAGAAAATGCAAACTCCACACAGAAAGGCTCCAGCAGGTTCTTTCTTAAGATTTAAGATTTTACTTTATTAATCCCCTATTGGATTGAAATTCTTTTTTTCACTTTTTTTTATATACACACACACACACAGGCTGAAATGCACACACAGGGCTTGTGGACATGCAAACATGGAGACAGATGGTGGAGTGATGGGCTGCCACGTTAGCGCAATTTGCAAGTGTTGTATTTGAATGAACTCCTCCTAGGGAATTAATCAGACCATTACAATTAAAATGTGTGCTCTTTGTGTACATTGAAGGCCGTGTCCATGGCATAGACTATCCATATAACACCATTAAACTAGAAGTTGTAATAACTTCAGCATACATGGTCCAATCTCCACCAAACTAATTTGATTAGAGTCCCTCGCTGAACACATACATGCCAATATTCAGTCATAGTGATAGCACCACCTACTGGCAACAGGAAGTAAGCCTTGTGTGGCGATTTTGTATCTGATTTACGTAAAATGAGTCCATGCGACGAACAACCGTATAAGTAAAAAAAAATAAAAAATGAGATAACCATGTGACATGAATGTATGTGTGCCACTTTGTATACAGAAGCAGTTTGGGGGGGTGTTCGCGCGACCAATACTCCATCTATGTCCACTAACGAAAAATGGAGACGCCGGTTGCTTTCATGTGTGTTGCGGACATTAATAGGCAAAACCTCGGCAAAAAAAGGAGAGCAAACATGAACGAATGGAAGGACAGAGCAAGGAAGGTCTTTGAGGGATGCTGGGAAACC